CCGCCATCTTTGGCGTTATGGGTTTTCCGTATATTGTGTTGAGGATTTAGGAAGTGGCATGTCTCTATATAAATTGTCTCTGGCGACACTGATGGTGAGCTGAGGGACTGACGGCAGATGAAGGAAAATGACTATTAAATCTTCTATTCGTAAATACAGTGCATGTTCACAATACAGTTTTAATAAATCAAAGAATGATTTAAACTACGTTTTACATCTGATATACACATTTAGATTAAATATGCCATTCTCATTAATGTTATTTATTCAAAAACAAGGCAAGGGTAGGCTACTAAATGATTTTTAACAATTTTATGGCACATCCTTACCTCATATTTTCCTAATGTCTTGTACCTTGTACATGGTATCATGTGGATGAATTTGTATATGCAAATGATATGCAGATGAGGATATGCATAGTAAAACTAGGCTTGGTGTAAAGCTGGTAGTCACACTTGAATATAAAAGTGTCTGTCTGCAAAATACACTACGGTTCAAAAGTTCCATCCATTCAAAGAATTAAAGGGATAGTTCACTTTGAAATTATTTTTTGATATGTTTTAGCTTACCTACGCTACGTCTTCCATTGCGATTTCCTGTCTAAATATGTTTAGATCTTAAAGGTAAAACTTCCGAAATCTCTGTGTAAACAATAAGTGATTTCCGGCGCATGCGCAGACCAAAGCGCCAGTGCCTTCGTATCAGTTGGACGTGGCTGTGATTGATTACAAGAGGTAAAAACGATATAAATACTGTTCGTTTTCTCACACAAACCGCTCGTTTCGTGTCTTAGGCCATCAATATGTAGGCTACTTACATTCACGAGTCATTAAATCATGTTTAATTTGGACTTCTCGGTGCATGCTCTTTGAGGTGGGCCCCATAATCTCCATTAAATGACTGATAGACAACAACGGTTTGACCGAAAAATATCAAAATTATACTGTGGAAACAAAGACACCAACATCTTGGATGCCCTTGAGGTAAGATAAAACATGTCAAAAATGTATTTCAAAGTGAAATCCCTTTGATTCAGCAAGGATGTATTTATAAAGCTACCAAACATTTCTATTTATCATAAATGTGGTTCATTGAACTTTCTATAGAATAAAGAATTCTGAAAAAAAAATATCCTGGTTTCAATAAAAATATTAATTCAACTGTTTTCAATAATAAACAGAAATGTTTCGCAAAATGGAACGCAAAGTTTCTCAGGGGAACGCAAAACCATTGACTTATTTTTTTCCATCACCATGTCCTCTTAGTGGCTTCATATGATTTAATATGTATATGATTATGTAAGTATTTCAGTTCAATTATTCAATTGAAGCATTTAGTAGCCTATGATTTTATATTTGAAAAAAAAAGGGCCCTTCAAATCACAAATATTGCTAAGTTTTCTAAGACATTTCTGGCACTGGGGCACATGTACTTTTTCCACTTTCCTCGACCCTTGGGCAGCCTGAAACTTTCTTTTTGTTTAGCCTGGAGTGTATGAAACGGGTGAATAATATGTTTCGGGGCATTGGATGTCTTTTTTCCCCCTCGATTTTCCCCTTCACTAGATTTCGAGAACTGTCAGAATGGCGCTGACTCTGTATTCTCTAATCCTTGCTGTGGGTTTTGCAACCAGAGGAAGAAATCTATATTTAGGATGCCATGGGTGAATGTGTTTAACTTTAGCTCAGAGTCGCTCCATTCATCACCAGAACGCGCTCAAAGGAGGGCAAACCTCGACTCCAGCTTCAGGCCATCATATAAATGACTTCTGCGATCAACCCAAACGGCAAACACTTTATATTTATTTACAGTATGTTGTCCAACAAAAGTAATGCTTTACCAGACAGTAATTCTTGAACTCAGGTTATCCTTAAGCAATTTCATATTCTGTTGAAGGACTAAACTGAAAAAGGGTTCATGTTCTGTTTTGTTAGTCTAGCAGTCTTCTCACACTTCTCTGTGGTTCCTTCTCGGGATATGTGCGTTGGCTTTTTTCCAGATGAAACCATATGGAATTCCTCAGACACACACATGTTGGGTTTTTTATGTTTTATGGGGACATTCCATAGACAAAATTATTGGTAACACTTTACTTGAAGGGGTGTGCATAAGGCTGACATGCCACCTTCATAACCATTGAATATGAAATAGGGTTTATGCATGTTTGTGACAACTGTCATTAAATGTCTTTTGCTCAATAATGACATTTTGAATGCAAATTATGACATTGTTTAAGATGTCTTTGTTATGACACCTTGACACAAACCAATACATGACCCGTCAGTGTCTTTGTCATGACAACTTGACATTAAATTAAGTTAAACGGTTATGAGGCATTATAACTGTCATGAATATTTTTCGTGACCTCAACTACAGTGGTACACATTGAATTTGTCATTAAATAGATATAATGGCTTCATGACAGCCAATGTCAACGTTTGATAATTAATCTGCTATGTCTTGTTTATGACAGTTTGTGTTGTCTTAGTAATGTCAAGTTATCACGACAAAGACTCTGACAGGTTATGATGTATTGGTTTATGTCAAGGTGTCATAACAAAGACATCTCAAACAATGTCATATTCGCATTAAAAATGTCATAACTGAGCGAATAACACATGTATAAAACTTCCTTCATATTCATAACAAGTCATGTCATGATTATGAAGGTGTTATGTTAGTCTTATGCACACCCCTTCAAGTAAAGTGTTACCAAATTATTTGTATACTGTACAAACTGTATATTCTATCCCTTAACCCTAAAACTACCCATCAAACATTCTGGATTTTTACATATATTAAACAATTTAGTGCGTTTTACACAAGGCTCATTTTGGAGCATTTGTTGCAGAACCTTGTGCATTTTTTCAGCAGAGGGCCTTGTGTTTTCAACAGGCTAAACATGCTTTGGTGGAGACACACAGCCTTAGTTCGGTTAGTTTTTGCAGACGTGAACAGGCAATCTCGCTTGGATCCGCAACAAAATAACCGGCCTGAGATCGCCTGAACGAGCCAAAAAAAAAAAAAAACAGGCTGTATCACAATATATAATAGGCAAATGCGTATATCTTGTATGAAAAACAGCATTATTTGTTTTGTCAGTGCCTCTCAATATGAATCATAGATGAAGTAAAATGCCTTTTTGAAATTTGGGTATGTGTACAATGAGTACTTGACTCGTATTAACTACTTTTGGTCCATTTAGAAATGTTGCTATGTGAAAGTGAACCAAACAAAGAGAAATCGTAACATTGTAAAAGTTTTAAACCTCGTTTCAGAAACAAAGGAAAGGAGCTACAGGTGTGACCACGGCATTTGTATGACTTGTAAACCATTTTACAAAAAAAATCCCAACAAAAAGCATTTCGGATATTGCCATCTTTGTCGGGACAATTTGTCCCCATTACATAGGGTTTACCAGGATACACACACACACACACACTATTGCTATTGTCAAACCCCATAATGGATTGATACTGATGATTCAATTAAAGAAAATACATCAGAACAGGTAAGTATAGATAAACTTTAATATACTTTTAAATTCTTATCCAGTCGAAAATACAACTTTTGAATGAAAGGCACAGTACGACCACCAGACTTTTCCACAGTCTCAGAACACACATACAGAAAGCAGACATTTTTCTTACAGAAAATGCACAAATAACTCAAACTTGAACATAATCAGCAGAGTTGAAAAGGTCGGAATGTCTTCAAACCAATGTGAAATGAGGATTTTTTAAAGCGATAGTTAATTAAGCTCAATCAACTCTCGATATTGCTTATTACAAACATGGGTAACATTAGTAGGGCATAAAAACAAAAATCACACAAAAAATATTTAGAGGACAAAATTGATAAGAGGGCAAAAATGAAAGAGTCTAAGAGGAAAAAGTATGATCTGAACATGTAGTGCAACTTGTCTCTGTAAACTTAATGCAAGTGCAAGTGAATGTGACGGTATGTTGTGGTTGCCAGCTTATGAAAAATTAAACTGCTTCAGTCCAAAAAACAACAACAAAGGTTAACAACAAAGGTTTATGAACACAGAAACATGAAAAATAAGAGATTTATAGTGATTTCCCTTTTGAAAGATCTTGGTCAAAGCATTGCTAAAAGAACAAAATGAACCACACAATGGTGACACTATTCTTTGGTATTTTTAATCTTGCATACTCAGTTGTTTCAACTCTATTTTGTTGTTTTGTTATATTTTTTCAGGTTACTTTTTTTTAAAATCATGTCGTCCAACTACCATCACTGACACTGACTGCCACTTTTACAAAAAGCATCAACGTCTCACCAAAAAGGTTCATTCATTGTAACATGAAACACTTGATCAAATATTCCTTCGCAAAGAGGCATAATTTGACCAAGCACACTTTCAAATTCAGTTAAGACTTCACCAAGATTCCTGTAGCAAAGGAATCAGGTGGTTATTTGAATATAAAGAAAAACACAAATGGATGAATCTCAAATCCTGTCAAGAACATGTCCTGGTGATCTTTCATACCACTCCCAAAAAAAGAAATTGCTTAGTGTAATTTGACAAGTAAAAAATAATTATACATCATGGTAGTATAAAACTTCCTTAAATTTATGATGCTTTAAATAAATATCTTTTTACACTATTTTTGAAATGTATAGTATTAACGTAATGAGATTAACATGAATTAATACAGCAACCCCCCCCCAAAAAAAAATAAATAAAATACAAATAAAAAAAAACAACTAAAAACAATGAAAAAAATCCTACGCAAAATAACTAAAACTAAACACCCTCCCCCCAAAACAAACAAAAACAAACAACAACGAAAAAAAAAACAAAAAAAAAAACATAAGTTAAATATTTGGCATTATAATGAGAATTTTGGAAGATAATATGCAAAATCAAATTGTTCCTAAAAATATAAATATATTCCTGGCCAAAATGGGAATATACTAAAATATTTGTTTCTTTTTTTGGGAGGGTTAAACATGCCCCGAACACTTTTTTTAAAAAAATTCACCACTCCCTGTGTCACATCAATAATAACCACAGCACTTAGAGCACCCAATTTATAAATTAATTAGAAACCGCATTATATGATTCTGATCAGAACCGTTAATAGCAGTGAGGGTTCACCGAAGCATCAGCTCACAGTCACACACACACACAGACACACACTAGTGCGATCACAGCAGCTCGAGCCTGTAGTCTGCTGATTTTTCACACGACCCTTTAATCCATGTTCATGTGCAAACTTCTTAATTAGCCCCGGAGACAGGACTGGAACCAATGTTGGCATGACTGATAGCGGCGACGAAACAGCAACTCCCTTGAAGGTGAACAAATGTGTTCCAGAATCCGGCAGCGCATTTGTAAAAGTACTTCTGATGTCTTTTTTTGAGGGGATATTGCAGGAGGCAGCGTCCCCTTGTTCTCAGCACTACCTGTTAGTATTGCTCAGCTGTGTGAGTTGTGTCAGGAACTCCCGCAGTTCTTTAGCTGCCTGGTAGCGGCCGTAACGTTTCTGAGGTTTGGTGCACTCGTCCAGCAGGGTCGCGAGACGCCCGTCTTTGACCACGTCAGCAGGGGGGTCGTGCAGGAGACCCCCCGTGGTGCCACGCCAGGTGGCGAATCTGGAGAGGAGGTTCTGACAGACAGCATAGTAGTTGTGGTCCACGGTGACTCGCGAGCAGAGGATGTCCTTGGAGAAGGAGAGGCAGGCTTCTTTGTCGCATTCCTCGTAGCGGCTCTCGTACCACACGTCATAGTTCTCTGGTTTATCTGAGTGGATTAAAAAAAATTAGTCAAAGGGTGCATAATATTTGCCAAAAGACATTTATAGCCCATGTTTCTGGGGTGAAACTAGATGTTCTAGAATCAAATAGTCTGAAGTTAGGGACTTTTGATTTCCACATTGCAGAAAACCTGGATAGAATTGCAGAATCCAGTCATAAAAATGGAATTTTAGAGTACTGCGAATGTCAATGAATTTGACGAGTACATCGTACGTAAAGCTGTACACTTAATCAAATCATGATATGTGCTAGTGTCTGTGAATATTAAACCACAAAAAGACTGTTTAAATCTGAAGTCAGCATGTTTCTGCACGCCTCTATGCGGATGGGCGCTGCAGACTGAACAAAAAATAAACTTGTGTTAAATCATTAATACTAGGGCTGGGTATTGAGACAAATTTCACAATTCGATTCGATTTCGATTCACAAGCTTGCCATTCGATTCGATTTTGATTACAATTGGATTCAATTCAATATCGATTATTTTGGATATCAGTTACAATAAATGGCCATTTTTCTAAAGGGAATCAAATCTCTTAACTAATGCTGTAAACTATGGGAGTCTAGTTGTAGCCTATAGGCTTCATTAGCCTAATATGAAGGTAATAATGAACTGTTTTGTAGCTATACAAACACTTAAATTACACTTTTATTTATTTTTATAATAAGAAGATTATATGAAATATAAACATTGAAATGGTGGCTGTCATTAACAACTTGCCAGATTTATTCAAATATGCATTAAATATTGAAGAACATTAAGATTATAATGCATATGTAATATGGTGTATATATTTATCAAAATGTTATTTATCAAAAAAAGTTATTTTTTTCTAGCTGACTAACGAGTTTATGTGGGTTTTCTGAGGTAAATATGACGATACATGACATTGATTACAAGCTGTTTAACTGACGTCTTTCCACGGTTAAAACGCTGATTGGCGAATCAATGTGACATGATACGGATTTCGATAAGTTGTACTCTATCTTTAACACACTTTCAGATGCTCATTCAGGTTTATTTCTTGCTGTAACTGGTATTATTAACCCGGAAGAGAGATCAGCGCTACTGCTTCTCTTGAGCTGCGCCAGAGCGATCTCACGCCACAGTGCCAAAACGTTATTTATGATTTTGAATTTCTAAAGAAAATGGACGTAATTTGAAAACTGAGACTTTGTTTCATATCAATAGTAACAAAGGACAAAGATTATTGCGATTTTTTGGGATGTGCGCAGCCGCGAGACAATGTCCCATTCATTCAAATGAAACAGGATGACTAATCGATTCTTGAGACTTAAGAATCGATATCGGTTCGTAAAAATGAGAATCGATTAATATCGAGAAATCAATATTTTTTACCCAGTCCTAATAAATACAGAAAAATTTTAATGGAAAACATAGAATTTTATATGTTCTATATTCGATATGTTCATTTTTAATGTTATCGTTATCAGTCCAATAAGAAAATTTGGCCAATTTATTAAAGCTGGTAATTAATGTATTATTTCCAACAGCAGAGACACTTCAAATGCGCACTATTCAACATGATAGTTTCAAAATTGCTTAAAAATATGATTTGAATCACTTAAAAAAAAAAAAAAGGAAAATACAGTTCAGTGCATGTGCAGTTCAAATCATATAGGCTATACATAAAATTATAATGAGTACATCATTATATTTGTGTTTGGGACATGACTTTCAATAGTGAGAGTTTTGTTTTTGTAATCAGGCTCTCAAAAATTATATAAAGATTTGCATTTAGATTTATCAGCCAATATATCAGTTATCGGACAAAATCTTTCATATCGGTACATCTCTAGAAAAAAATTAAACGGTTCACAAGGCCTTATTATTGTAAAAAAAAAAAAAAAAGTAATCAGTTAATAAACTGTTAAAATTTTATGAATTGTTTAGATGCTTTTTGATTATTAAAATGGAAATGGAAAACTGTGAAATGTATTTAATAGGCCCTAAAAAATAAGCTTTTACTAAATTTATGTTAAACTAAGTTTCACAACAAACGGAATTCAGAAAAAAATGAAACTGATTTTATTTTATTTTCCCCATGAAGCGGAGCCAGGGCAGAATGAATTGAAACGGCGCTGGTTTGTCAGGAAGAGTTAGGACCCCAGTTCACATTAGACCCCATGGGGAAGCCCCCTAATCAAAAGCTGTTATTGCAATATGTAGCTAATCAAAACAGCCTAACACCTGTTGTCGTTTTGTAGCTGTGGTAGCTTGATGTAGCATGTAGGCCAGACAAAGTATACTTTGAGCTTCAGTATAAATCATTGCAGAGTAAGAGTCAGATTTACTAAACAGGGTAAATTAGCGTGAGAGCAACATCCTATAAAAGCGTAGATGGGAGTGGAAAGTTCTGTGCGTGATCTACTGATGACACGCAAATTAAAAAAACAGATGCAGCCGGATCATTTCCATAATAACCAACACAATATATTAAGAAAATTTGCGAAAAAAGATTATTATAGCTTCAATTCTGTTTCTTTTTTCTGCTTAGTTGCTCTAAGCGTTACTAGTAAAAGATAAACTCATAATACCTAAATCACCAAGTAGTTGACCAAAAGAGAGCTCCAGTGCTATTTTCAAGGCAATTCCAGGCTTAAAAAAAAAAAAAAAAAAAAAAAAAAAAAACACGCAAAAATAATTCAGGACTCCAAGAGTCAAGTTAAGTCAAGTCACCTTTATTTATATAGCGCTTTATAAAATTGCAGATTGTTTCAAAGCAGCAAAAGCAAAAATTGGTCTGTTATTAGTTGTAGTGGTGCTTGTAATAACAGACCTCGAGATACTATAATTGAAGAATCAGAATTAAGTATTGCAAGGAGACATGAACAAATATAAATGAATAGGGGTGTAACGGTACACAAAAATCACGGTTTGGTACGTACCTCGATTTTAAAGTCACGGTTCGGTACGTTTTCGATACAGCAGAAAGAAAGAAATGCCAGAGAAATGTCCTATTTGTTAAAAGAAAAAGAAAAAAATTAAATAAGTTTTGAGTTTCCCTACATCTTGAAACGTTCAGGTTTATATCTTTGAAGGATGAATAAATAATGTTTTGGTCATCACATTGAAAATAACATTTAAATATATATATTTATTTATATCATATTTGAGTTTTGAAGTGCTGGAAAAAGATGTGTGAAGTACTTGAAAGCATTTCACTATTTCAGCCAAACTGGTTACAGTTAGTGTTAAGGCGGGCGTACACGGTACGAATTCTGACGGTCGGAAGATCGTATGCCCAGGCACACTTTACGAGTGCGTTTATACAAAAATCGTATGGAGGCAGTGATATACGACACGATTTTACGACCTGCTGAATTCCGAAGAAATCGCACAAAGTTCCACACTAAAAACTCTCATAACTGCATATAAAACATTGATACAAGCCGTGGTTATTTTGCTATAGGCTCGTTTTCAGCACCGCGAAACGGACGTCCGGACGGACATAGTTACGGTAGGCTACACATTCAAAAATAAATTTCAAGCTCTCTGAATGATTAATTAGCCGTTTAAACCACCTCATGTGAGCGTTTGCAATTCATTTTGCTCCGAGAAGCTATCGCCGTGAACGGGGCTTGAGTGAGCTTGAGCGCGTTGTGAGAGTGAGGGCGCGGGTGCCAGATCCCGTGTTGCAAGATCCACATAATGGAAAGGTGCCAGTATCTGGACTTGTTTTTTGGATTAATGTCACGCTTTAGGAAGTTATTAAAGTGGTTCGTAATATATTTATCTTATTTTCAAAACACAAGCTTTGAACTTATTTTTATATAATTTCTTTGTTTTTGTTAGTTTTTGCTTGTTTTTCGTAGCAATATCTGGCAACATTGTTTTGTCGGCATTAATAAAAAAAAGCTTAGGCTGTAGACAAACTGTTATTGCTTTTAGGAGGATACAAACATAGCCTAATGATCATCGTGATGTGTAAAAATCTGTAAGAAATGTATAACACTATCAAAAACAATAGCATAGCCTACAGTTGTTTCAGAATGAAATATGCCAAATACTGGCCAGTAGGAACACGGCAGATGCTGTTTAGTTAACCTTTCACAAAGTCATCATAAAAACATTAATTGAAGCAGTGTTTCTAGTAGTCCACACCATTTTCGTATTTCTTCTGTGGATTTCCTCAGCTCCCGATTGGTCAAATTCAGATAGATCGACAAATCGGCTCATTCAACCGCATACACCTCGCGAATGCAAGCCGACAGCTCCCGAACTTTTTCGACATGCTTAAAAATTATCGGGAGGTCGAGAGGTGCTCGGCTCGGCTCGTATCTTCCTCGCACACGATACGAGCCGCGACATGCGAGCATAACTGATTTACACGCGATTTCCCCCGAGTGAAAAAAATCATCTGCGAGCTCGTAAAACAGCAAAAAATCGCACCGTGTACGCCCGCCTTTACTATATCCATGGTGAATGTTGCTGATCTGTGGACGTAAAGTATTACTAGTTTATTCACGGCACAATGTTTCTCCTGGTTTCCACGTCAGCGCTGTTTGATCTTATAGAGATCTACGGTTTATAACTGAGAAATGTGAATGCTTCTCACTAGATTTCAATCAAATGTTTCCTTCTCTGGATCTCTGTAGTAACAGTGTCGCCTGATCGAGAACGGCTCGCGCTGCACAGATGTTGCTGGTCCGAACTGATAAACGATCCGTGAAGCACATAATGAGTAGCACAGTTTTGTTCCGCCTTCATTACGCTTGCCATTTGATGTTGCGCAACGTTGTGTGGCCGCGCCAGCACGAATTTTGTCGGCAGGAAAAATGGTCCAAGGAATCGTTCGGTTCGTATGCGTACCGAACCGGAAGCCTCGAACCGGAACGGTTCAATACGAATACATGTACCGTTACACCCTTAAAAAATGAATGATGCATGGTTCTGCAACAAGGATGGAGTTGTTTGTGAAAGGACTGCCAGTGCCAGGAAAACGTAAAGCACACGATAATCTA